CTTTTCACGTTGCATATTGTGGTATATTTTATTTTTTTTTACAAAAACATATTAGTTGATAAAAAGATGAAATAAGGAAAAAGGAATTTCTCGTTCGCATAGAAAAAAATGATTTTTTCCCTGCGTCGAAAATTGGTCGCACACAATTTTGCTTCTTTTGAAAACAAAAAGTACAAAATTAAAATAAGCTTTACTTTGCACATTGTAGTTGTTTTCACGCTGCATCTCCTGGTATATTTTGTTTTTCTAAAACAACTTATTAAGTGATGCAAAAATGAAATGGAAAAAGGGCGTTTTTTTTGTCCGAGAGAGAATAACCCCTGAAGATATTTAATTCATAATAAATACTATTTCAACTTCTCGTGAGTTGAGGTTTATAATAAATATAGTAACTTTCTTTTTGATTGTCCTCCAGCTGCCAAACAGTGACTCCTTGGATAATTATATTCCTCAGCACGTGCAAGTCGTCGACTTATCGTGAAGCTTTCGAAACATATCTAGACTAAAATTGGACTTCTTCATCGACGAATATACCACAAAAATTCTGAAAGATCTCTAATGACTGTAGATAGAGAGCAATTTGTTTCGAAAAATTCGAACTTTGTCATTTTTTCAAAACGATCGACTTTGTAGGCCCGATAGTTCAAAGATGAAGCGATGAAAAAAATATATTCCTTTTACCAATCGATAACCCATGAAGTTTACTACAAAAAAATGTTCGTGTCATTTTTAAATCCCACGCTTCCCTTATTTTCTGCAATCGTTCTACAAATGGTCACTCGAGTGACCAAGACGGGGGGGGGGGGGAATTGGTTAGGATCGAAGTTTCTCATTAAGAATAGCCGTTGTCATTCATTTGTTGCCATGGAACAACGACGAACAGCACAAACAATTCACTGTCATGACTGATCAATCGACAAAACAATACTTTGATAGTGGCAGGTGTGGATGTTTTCTTCACTTATCCAGCCACACCCTAATGAAAACATTACCTGCCTGTGCGAAAGCAAGAGATTCTTGAAATTTCAAAAATCGGCGGATATGTGTAAAAGGGTCGAAGATAGTTATTTCTATTGTTCGGATTTAGATTAGAGATTCAATGAAATACCAGAAACTTCTCCATATCAAATCGCTACTCTTGTTCTCTGAAGAGCACCATTCGAAAGAAAATATTTGACCGAAAACTAATAAATTGAATAGATCAATAATTTTAGTTTTCAATTTGTTCATTTGTTGTGCATAATAGAAGTTTCTTTTCTATTAATTGTCTTAGATGGGTGTTTGATTCATTCATGATGCATTTTTGTCATAATGATTGTCAAAGTTTTAATTTAGAAAAAACGTCCAAGCAGAAATTTTTTTTCTCTGCTTCCCATATGTTTCAGAGGATACGCCGATGTTAATTGTTCACTGCTCCACTCTCATTTATTCATCCTTATAGTAGGAACTTCATAATTAATATTGATGTGCTTGTATGAGATCGTTGAAGAGGAAATTAAAGCTTTCACAAAATTGGTAGACAACTTCTCGACAGAGTTACACTTCACGAGTCATTTTATAGTCGACGCAAAAAATAAAAATTATACCATGGCGTATAAGTTAGGGTACCGTTGCTGGAGTTCATTTCGACAGATCAATCTCTTCCAGAATGGTTCTACTGACGAACATGTTATCCAACATCAACAATTATCGACAACGATATACATTATTACTATGTTTATTTCACTGACAACAATCGGTATCATAGCTCTATGTATAATTCGCACAAAAAATGTCGATGTAAATTCACCATCTTACATCGATTTTCAATTTTTAAATGAACACTATTCATCGACGCTGAGATGTCCATGTTCTCAATTGACAATTTTCTATGAGACATTTACCCGCGTGAATGTAAAATTTCATCAAGTATGTTCAAGTAAATTTGTATCGGCAACATGGATAGAATCAATCTACGAGAATCATAATGGATCGTCATCATTCTCAAAAACAGATGTTCATTCAACGCTCACAAATTTTTGGCAAACCATAGCTGCACTATGTCGAATAAGCAAGTCGTCGATAAATGATGCTCTTGCTCAATTCAATGCTTCGACTTGTCTAAGTCCAATGGCAACGACTAAGGAAGTAGTTCGTATGGAAACTGATGCGGAATTAGATGCATTAGTCACTTCGTTTCAATCGATAATTATGCGTGATCTATTGACGATTCAACATCTTACAGCAGGCAACCAAGTTGTCTCTAGTTTGGCGACGAATTTCGATGCACATTTGGTATCAAGTGGACTCGGATTTGAACTTCGATTATCTCCAAAGATATTTGGTAATTGCTCTTGTCTTAATGTTCATGGATGTTCACGGCAATTGTACTTTGATTACTTGATAAATCAGACAATGATTGCAATACCAGGCATGACATCCAATTGTTTGATGGTTAATGCAGTACTCGATTCTTCATTGGAATGCTACTATAATCTGTCGTGTATTAATTTATTGCATGCATCAATGAATAATATCGAATTTCTCAAGATCGATGGCAAGAGTGACTTTATGCCAAATTCAACTATTCGAGCGATTTTGAATGATTTAATGACTGAAGAAATTAAGGTCAAAGTCGATTTCAATAATTACTATGCACAATGTAAACCAACCCATTGTTCATATGTATATTCTCATCGATGCGATGTTTTATTTGCTATCACGACCATGATCGGAGTTTATGGTGGATTGTCCGTTTTTTTGAATTTTATTATACCGGTTATTGTAAAACGTATAATTCAACGGAGAAAAGAAAATTTATCAAACGATATTAAGAATTCTAAATCGTTATTGATTCAATGTAGGTTGTTCTTTAATTTTTTTTTCTAAAACATGCTTTTAACATTCTAAAGCAGTAGAGCTGCATTTTAAAATTTTAAGCTTTCTCCAATTGTTCACTCCATTCCGATAGTTCAGTGAAATATCGAGACATTTTAGTCGGTTTTCGAAGATTTTTAACTTTTTATCATGCCTAGGTATTAGATTGATTTTGAATCGATCTTTCGCTAATAAGAAAATGCTTGCATGATTGGTAGTTCATGCTTTAAATTGAGCATTTGAATCTGTTTATCGCCTTGTTGTAGATATAAGAATCGCAAATCCTTGCTGCTAATCACAATTCCTGTTTTCTTTATATTGGATAATTCTTCGATTATAATCCAATGAATAATTTAGACGAAATATTAGGATAATAATTGTTTTCTGTGACAAAAACTATTTTCAACATATTCATATTACATATAGAAAAAAGTGTTGTTCATTAGACTGGCGATTACAGTATATTTGTTGGATTTCATCATTCTTTTGAAAAGATCAAAGGCAAATTTTGTAGTAGTATCCATAGCTTGTTTTTGTGTTGCTTGCGTGTGAACGGCTTTTTCTAAAGAATTTTGTAGCTAACAACTGTGATCATAGTTATCGATTGGAACCAAAGTATATAGATATCATAGCCTTTTAGAGATATACAAAAAGTTAAGTCTATTGGACGTGATGTTCAATGTACGAGTGGTAATCATGAGTTGATTCATCTCGATGGAATAGTGATGAGCAGAACCAATAATTTTGCTCCCGGTCCCGGGGTATCAGGACCATTTTGCCCATATCTAATTGAAACTCTTTCTCTTATTGTGATTATCTAGACTTTCTTCTTTCAAAAAGACCACATCCCAAGCCGATCCAACGTTCTGTGACTGAAAAATAAATACCGTTTTTTTGTTTTTGTAGAAAACTTTCCCATCGTGTATTAGAATGAGTAGCTCAATTGATTCTCTTGATAAAAGAAAATAAACAAAGTTTGTTTCTAAACTATTTTATTAATTGCACTAATTCATGAATTCCGAATAACTTGCCATCAATCTCAACTGTATATCTTTTATTTTATTTCTAGGTAGCTTACGAGATCGAATGCGTTATCTATGGCAAACTCTTGTCGATCTCAATCTTTTTAAAAGTCGAATACTCGATGCTGAGAAGATACCACAACAACGTATAACTACTCGATTCTTCATTTTTCTAATGGTTTTCAGTACTATCATTATTGGGTTCTATGCATTCTTGTCTGTTCAAACTCAAATTATAACAATTGCAAATCCATCTTTGGATACCTATGAAGATCTGTACAATAATTATTCAACAACTCTTTCATGTCCTTGTTCACAAGCTATTGTTCCATATGGATCGTTTGTCACAATAGCATATACATTGCATCAGATCTGTTCAAGTGATTTAGTGTCATCCGATTGGCTGAACTTTATTCTTGGGTATAATCAATCGATATCGTTCAATTTTAGTGGCATGTATCGGATGAATGAAGAATTTCAACGTACTGGTTCATCCTATTTTCAATTTCTAGCCAGTTTCTGTTCAGTTGCGAGAGAAATCATCGATGAAGCGATTAACACCATAATCTTAACTCAGTATGTCAATAGTCATGTTCCGTCGAAATCGTTGTTTATCAAACATATGACAGCTTTTAACAGATCGCTTACACTTTGTATTATCGACGATTTTATGCGTACAAAAGATTGGCTAGTAACAGCGGCATTAGCAAATCGATATTTGATCGGTCTTTATTCAAATGAACGTATTCAATTCTTGAAAGACAACTCGACAATTGTCGTTGACGATATTATTCTACCTCATCATGATCAACCACAAGAACAATCAATATCAATATTGGGCATGTGTTCATGTCGACGAAGTTCATCTAGCTGCCATCGAGTGCCTACTTTAGTTTATAAGATGGCAAATGGTACACGAACATGGCGAAATTTTATCGGTATAGAAGTTGGATGTGTACCAGTGTTTGATTTACTTAATTCTGATGTTAGCTGGTGGTATACAAGTGCCTATATCGAACAGATTCGGCAAGGTTATGCTGAAGGAGTCAATGTAAAAGAGATACCCAACATTCAGCCATTAAATTCAAGTGTATCGACACGATTTCACATGAATAATCAAAGTTATATTCTGTTCGAGGCTTTACTTGATGAATTATTAATTGAAACATGGACGAATGATATTTTTCGTTTTGATTTATTCTATACATTATGTGCGCCGCTATCATGTTCATATACGATCGATGAAAAATACCCTCTATTCGTTGCTCTTCTTCTACTTATTTCCATATGTGGAGGACTTAATCGAGCCCTTCGATTATTCTTACCTGCTCTAATCAACTTGAGCCATTTTTCGTTAGAAAAATATTACAATCGTAATCGAACTAAAGGTAAGTTTACTTTTAACTATTGTTACAATTTTTGCACGAAAAATTGTAGATGTGATTTGATCTCATAAGATTGAAACAAAAATATCAATTAAAAACTTAATGGAGCATTGTCAAAGACAAGTAGCCCTTGCAACTTCCGGTTCAAACTATAAACGATTGCAGAGACCGTTTTTTATCCGAATTCAAATTTATTATCAAAAAGAATTCAAATTTAGCGAGAAAGAAACAGTTTTATAATATATTTTACAAAAGCAATAGATTCTGCAACGCCATCCATAGTAGAAAATTTATCTAAGAATCGGACCTTGTGGCTGGTACAGGCGGCTCAAAGACGTCAACTTTGTTATAATCCGACGAAATCAATTCAATTTTGTTAGTTTTAGCAGACTTCAAAAATATTCTGCCGTTTTGATACCATGCACTACATTCAAAAAAAAAGCTGGCGGTTTTCGTCCGATTAGAACTACATGGGAAGTCACTAACTGCTATTTGTCTTTGACTATGCATCCGATAGCATGCTGGCTATGTAGCGACATAGACCTGCTCTTTTGGTTAGTTAGTGCCTATCCGAGCTCAAGTAATTGAGTGTTAAAACTCTGTGTTATGCAGGCCTTCTGTTTATAGCTACAGTTAGTATTAGTGGTAGGGAAGATATCGAGCTATTGAATCTGATATTAGGCAGTACACCATATCGCAAAGTAGCTGAAAGGCAAAAGTATTCTTCTTCTTACTGACAACGGAAGGCCACGAACTGTTCAATCGATTTTGCATCTAGACTATGTGCCTTATATACACTTAGATGAGCTGTGGATGTCCTAAAAAGAGTCCAAGCAGCTAGCTTATTGCTATAGAGACACTATACTTCTACGATGTTTTTTAAATATGTTCTGTGACCCCCTCAGGAATACCAAAAAACCTTACTTTCGAATTTCGACTCGAAATATTGCATAGACATAGTTCTTAATGAGAATAGTCTATTGTCAAAGTTTCAGATCTTTTAATTTGCTTCTACCTTGAAATAAGAGCATCACATCTGAGTTTTCATGAGTTATGTAAAATATACGCTATTACCATTACCATAGTTCTATCTTAGGATAGAAGTAGGGACAAAGTCTGAAACATTCACAGCAAACTATACTCATTAAGATCTATCTATATGCAAAGTTTCAAATCGAAATTCGAGGGTGACGTTTTCTGGTATTCCTGAGGGGGACCATGGCATTTATTTTAAAATAGCATCGTAAACGTATAGTATCTCCGTAGCAATAGGCTAACTGCCTGAACTCTTTTTAGGGCATTCATAGCTCATATGAGTCTAAATAAGGCACATAACCTCGATCCACAAGCAATTGGACACTTGGTGATCTTCCATCGTGAGTAGTAATGTACGAGAAGAAGAGCCCATTGGGTCCAAGAATTTTCGGACTCGATGAGCTCTAAGGAAAAGGCGATCATCCAAATATATGATATAATCGATTGCTATGCCATTATTGAGAAAATTTTGCATTGCCAAGATCTTTCGACATCTTCATCTTGTGCCCATTACTGTTTTTGATTTTTGTCAAAATAATGAAATCATTGTCTAAAAACATAAGTAAATAATTCTTGACCATTGATTTCAATTGAATTTGTTCGAACTATGATTTTTTTGTAGGCTCAAAAACTCCGATAAATATTCAATTAAGACAATTCGGTATGAAAATATATCAATCATTAGTGACATTGAACAGTTTCAAAGCACGAACTATCAATGAAATAGATGAATATTATGAACGACAATGTACACGGATTTATGTCTTTCTATTGACAATATCCATTGTTACAATTCTCTTATATACAAGTCTTACTCCGAAATCGAGAGTTGTGACTATTCAAGCACCGATAAATTCATTTGAATTCGAAAAAATATATCCACTTTATTCGAATACTCTTCAATGCCCATGTAAACAAATATCAATGCCGTACGGTGATTTTATCTCGACAACCGAATTTGTATCATATCATCCAGTTTGCTCCAGTGTTTTTGTGACAGACGACTGGATATCTTATTTGATGAATGAAGGCAAATTACCTGATTGGATTTCAGATCATGATTTTCGTCATTGGGGTGCTGTATTTTTTCAAACACTTCGATCTCTCTGCTCGATTGCGACCAAGACTACGGATGATATCCTATTGGATTTTTTATCCTCGACATTTTTAATCAGTGAAATTGTTTTACATGATCAACTTCATACACAGACAAATATTACTTTACGTCAACTACAAAGAACAATATCAGTTATATTTAATCAAGCTCTAGAATTGATTCGAATCACAAATCAAGGTAATGGTCTGATGAATATTTTTTCATCGAATTGGCGATTTATTCTCAATGATAATAAAAATAGTTCGAGTTATTTAACTACTCAACCCGTAAGTTACAATAATTCGTCATGTTCATGTGCTATTTCATCTAAATGTTCGTCATCGGCTGCACTTTTTAATAATAATTTAACGCTTCTTCATACTATCGATGGACTTCGATTTGGTTGTTCGATTCTCGAATCACTTCTTCAATCATCATTAGAATGTTTCTACTCTTTCACATGTATAGAACAACTGTTAATTGCAATGCCTATGGGCGGTCCTATGTATAATCAATTTTATCGAGTTCCAATCGATTGTTTTGTACCAATCAATATTAGTGGATCAAACTTTGTCGTCAATGATACCATTGAAACCATTGTTAATCGAATGTTAATCGAATCATGGAGTGCCGATGTTTCCTATGAATTGTTCTATTCAGCATGCGCTCCGCAACAATGTTCGTTTAAGCTCACATATCGATTTGATCCATTGGATGTAATGACGACATTCTTGAGTATATTTGCTGGTCTTTCGCTCAGTCTACGTTTTTTTGTTCCCAGGCTAGTTATGCTAATCTACAAAATTCGAAATCGATCTCGAACTGTTCCATATCAAAGTAAATAAATTAATGAAGAACATTAATTCGGTCAAACACTTAATAATCTAAGTACTCATCTGATTCCTAAAACTTAAAAATTATAAAGTAATATTTTCTCTTTCAATAAATAATGGCTTCTTATATTAACCGAAATGAAATCTTGTTCAATATCATAAATCTTCGTCATGTTGCATTTGCTTGCACTTGATTTCATAATACAAGTTTCGTATTAGATTAAGCTTGACCAAAGAAAATGAAAACGATTCTTTCTCATGCTTAGATTTGACAAAGGTATCGACGATTTAGTGCGTGAGTCCAATTTTTCGAAAGAAAAAAATCATATCTTGGAATATTAATCTTAAAAAGGTCTTGGTTAGACTATCTCATTAATGAATTTCTCAATATATTCTTATCTTATGTAGCATTTTTTGCATTGCGGTATTTAAAATCAATGAAACTGTGCGCGAGTTAGTTTAATCAATATCTTTATGTGTAGAAATTTCAGATTGAAGTCCTGAAATATAATTCTCTTGTTGAAAATTTGACTCAATCGGCTAAAAAGTCGTTATATCGGTCAAATTTGACCCTTAAAAGCCGAATGTCTCTTCCAAGGGATATTCGAAAAATCTCAATAAAACATGTAATAAAACTTCATATACAAGATTCAGTGTTTTCTTGGACTAAGATAATCTGACAGATCATGAAAAGAGAAAAAGATCAGCCTTGAGTGCCTATTAGACGAAACAATGGATTTTTTAAGACATAATTTTTCGAATGTTATTTTTTTGCATTAAAACTTTTGCTCATTTATAAATACAGTGTGAAAGTCTGTTTATTTTTGACTGACATCGCAAAGCGTAGCAGCAGGCTATCGAATGAGACCATCTCTTAATTTTTTAACAGATTTGTTGATGCATGATGGTATCATGAAGAAAATGTCCCTTGGAAGGGACATTCGGTCTTAACGGTCCGAAATATTCTATCATTCAGTGACTATCCATAAAATATCAACATGAAGACGAAATGCGCATAAGTGTGTTATTTGTAGATATGATGATACGTTTTTTTTTCTGTTGGACCTTATATGTCTTGCGTTCTATCAATTTATTAGTATATATTGGATGGAAAGTCCAAGTTGTCCTTTATCGTATTTGAAAAATATTTCGTATATGTCGAAAATAACGGAAACTGATAGTTCAGATGATGATATACTTTATTCAATCAAATCAGATATAAGTGATATTGATAGTAATGATGTCGAAAAAGATAATGTAAGTTGTGATTCAGATGTATCCTGTGAATCAGCTGATAACGAAGGTGTTACAACAAATACGAGACAATATGAATCATGGTCAGAAAAAAAGTTAAAATCTAATTTACCATATTATGATGATAAATTAAAATTATCAAATGATTTTAAGTCGAATATATCACTAAATGCTACACCAATAGACTTTTTTCATTAATATTATACACCAGAATTAGTTTCTCATATAGTTGATCAATCGAATCTTTATAGAATTCAAACCAAAAAAAATAAAACAAAGTCCTATGACTGGTGGGACTAGTTCTGCATACCTAGAGCCCACATACATCCACACCAACACTCAACCCACTCACACCCTTAGAATATTTATGTCTTCAATATATCACGAGTATAGATGAATCAATCAGAATACTCTTGCTTGTGACAATAGTTTAATCACTCAGATGACCATTGTGGAAAGACCGACTTGGTAATGAAACGCTCATAAGATCTTTCATAAATCTTATATGGCTTAGCTAAGAAGCATCGTAGAGAACTGGAGAACATTTCATTTTTCAGAAAACTGTTTGTTCTATCATGGCCTATAGCGAGAACAAGTTTTATATCCAATTTGTAGACGTTGACAAATCAGAGGTTTGATTTTCTAGAAACCCTTTAGCAACTAGGGCCGCTCCATTACTACTACTGGTAAAAAGTAATTAGTTACAACGTTATTAGGGTGTGGGTGTGGGTGTGAATGTGAGTATGAAGGCAAGAAGAACACCATCCACCCCACACTCATATCCAAAAAAAACAACAAAGCAATATATTGAAACTAGAATTAGACAAACTCGACTTATCTATCCCTATTAAGTTTATAATATTCAAATATCTCAGTAACTTCAACGACTAAAAAATAAACCAATAGTTTCAAATTGTCCCATGAACTTCCTTTGTCAACAAGTAATTGAAAATTTGAGTTAGTCAAAAGCTCAGGAAATTTGGGGTGTTATAAAAGTAAATTCAGTATGATTATTTTTTTTCTCAGGACTGTAAAGATATTTCTATCATTGTTCTAGTTGTAAATGCTAAATAATATTGTCTAAATGATCAAACTACGTGAAAGTACCTATAGAAAACCAAAATTCTCCAAGTGGATCATGAAAACAGAGTAAAAAGAATCACTCAAAAACTGAATTTCTGAGATGTTTTTAGCAATTAAAGTTAAAACGAGCAATCGAAACTATCTTTCCTGTGGGCTTCTTATCTTCGAGTAGTCGAAATTTCGATAGACTGCGAGTCGTCGAAACGTGTCCAAGGAGTCGAAAATAAATGTGCGATGGGAAAATCCTTCCGAGGGCTCGATATCCGATAGCCACCAATGAGTTCCAAATTCGAACAGAACGAGAAAAAAAATGTATATTTAAGTTTCGACCTCTCATCGTACCCATCGTTGGCTTTTCGGGGTCCGCTTGGGTCTGTGGAAGATGGATGTAAACTAGTGATACTATTCGTTAGAAAGCGATTATCGCTATTGAAACGCTCAGGAACTATCCAAGATTGAATACTTCCTGGTATTATTTCTGAATTTAAGCCATTATCAAGTGGATGTTGCCGAGAATCAATTGGTTGATAATTAAAAACAGCAACATTGAAATATGTACTCATCATTAGGAAGATATTGAATTTTTTTTCAATCCAAAATGAAGTTTGAAAAGATAATAGTGTACTATGAATGTTGTCAACACCGAGTTATGATAAACGAGCTGCACCTATTTTCAGAGTAAAATAGGTTAATAATGGCAATGATGTCTCAAACAACATTTGCCAATCATTTGCACCGAAAAATCTATTGTGTGAATTGATGACTTCCAGATTATGTAAATTTGACATACAGTGAAAGTATTGAACTAACTAATCCCATGTTAATTTAGTATATCTATCAACAAAATCCAAAATGCTAGTACGAAGTTTTGTTAATGTTGGAATATTGATTGTTGATTGAAAAGTTTTCGAAGATGAGTTTATTATTCGCACATTCAAATAACTAAGGCTTGAAGCACAATGGGATATATGCTGCAGTTCATTCCATGTACAGCCCTTTTCCACAATAGTCAAGTGTCTCACAATGAAGGAAGTTATTTTGTGAACATTCCAAAGTGCTCCATGATAATTGATATCGAGAACAAGTCGTTTAAGCATTGAGAAACTCGAAATCATTCGATCCATAGAATAGAATATGCCAGATCGTGATGAATCTGTTGATTTGATCGACAATGTGTAAAGATTCGAATCCGATAACGAGCAGAGAACTTGTTCCATTCGATAGTTGTCGACAGATCTGACATCAAAATCAACGTGGAATCTACGAAGCATATTGAATATTTTTAATGATGGAAAGTAAGATAAAAACATATTAATCTGTTCAGGTGTATCACATTCGGATAATGTTATACTTTTGATCTTGTCAAGGTAATTGGATAGAAGATTAATACAAAATTGAAATTCTTTCCTACGAATACTAGTAAAATCAAAATGGAATTGTTGACATTGATTAACAAGCGCATTGAAACAACTATTTAATTGATTATTAAATGCAACGAATACATCGACTGCATTCATATATTTTCCCAGAAGATCAATGAATATTTCATTAGGGAATGATTCGAGCTTTGATATTGATATGGTTGCAATGCAAAAAAAGCTACTATAAGCTTACCACACTTCTAAGACTACGTGTATGTGTAGTTGCACAATAAAAAGTCAACTCATGCTTGCTTTCTTCTTTCGTTGCTGACAAATAAGTGATGAAAAAAAGACACATTTCTGTTGTTTTTTTTTTCATCGTACTAAGAACAAAAAAAGCAAATGTTGATGCACTATTATTATTTTGGATACTCGGACACTGAAAATCCTCGTAAATTAAAACAAACTTGAAAGAATTTATGAAAGTGAAATGCATGAAAATTTTTCTATTCTATCGTGTGAAGATATGAAACGCCGAAATAAACACATCACACCTACAAGTTTGAATATAAAGTTTCGAATTCAAAAACTTTCTTTAAATACATTATCGATATGATGAAAACTCATCACATATATCTATCCTTGTATATATGGGAATATGATGCATTTCAAAGAATATTAACCATATCTAACTTAAAAATATTCATCATTTTGCTATATTTTCTCGACATTTACGGTCCTGATACTAAGAACATAGTACTATAGGCGATGTAGTATCATAAAAATCTGTATATCATAACAGAAACTTTAAATCTAGAGAAAATTATCAAAACATATATATGTCTAAGTTGAAAGTTGATTTCGCTCAACTGGTCAATTCTAAACACATACATATACACACATCTCTTTCGTTCTGGATGTCACAGAGATATAGACAATTGAAATCTAATTCAACTGAACTTTCTAATTGAGCATAGCTAGATTTTAAATACATGTGTTGATGTAAGCGAGGTTCGGTTGACGGTGAGAAGCATATCATTTGACTTTTAGAATCATAAGCGATATGCTTGAGGTAAGAAATACAAAAATTTTGAGTGGTAAATGAAGAATGAATATCAAAAATAATGAATTTTTTCCTATAATTGAATGTTCCTAAAAAATGAACTCTATATGAATTTGAATTGTGTAAATTTTCATATAAATTTTCCTTTGAAATTATCAATTAAATTTTATCGACTTGTAAAACAATCTAATTGAAATAATATTATCGTTAAGTTTAATTCATAAATTTCTCATCTGTTTCAAAAGTTTCTAAATTTATTTGTTTGATTATACTTGAAAAAATTTGAGATTATCTACTTTTCTAAGAATGTATATGCTCGATTTGAAAATTAAATATTAATTTTCTAAAATGATTTCTATTGTAAAGAAAAACAATTAATCTCGATTTTGGTTTCATGTTAGTTTATCGAATTCTTCAACATCAGATATATTCAATACATTTATTTTAAGTTAAATCTAATCATTATTTAAATGAGGTTGAATTAATAATAAAGAGTTGATTATCAACAAAAATTGCATAGATTTCATGATGAAATGCAATTATTTTCACATACAATACATGATACAGTATTATTGAAATATGATTATCAATTATTCCGAAAACTTCTTCATATTTATCATTAATTTCATAAAAAACAAAATCTAGCTCGGAATTTATTGAAAAAAAATGATTATTTATGTGCATTTGATTTACTTTATATAAGAAAAGAAATGTTTTGAATACAATTTCTAATGATTATATTGAAATAGGTAAAATTAATGACGATTCACATTCTCAAATTCACAATTTATTTACCTAGATAAAATGAATAAAATAACACTTTAAAATTATAGATCATTTAATAAACAGTAGAAATTGCGTTTTCTTTAAAAATAATTCTTCTTTATAATTATCTCTAGAATTCTTTTTACTTTTAAAGTTTCTTGTGAAATTTATTGTTCTATGGAATTTTAAGCTAAATATCATTAGGTTCAGCAATTATAATACAAAACAAAACAAAAACATATCGAGTTCTTCAGAAATAAATTTCGTCGTTTTTCAATTTCAAAAGATTTTTGAAATCGAATTTTCGCATGCAAACATTTTTTCATGATATCGTGGCTTTTCACTAATTATAATAAAGGATTTTAAAATTTTCGAAGTTTGCCAAAACTCGAACTCATGTTCATAGTAAAATAAAAAATGGTTGTATGAGATTATCTTATAAATAAAACTATAAATCAAGACATATAATGCAAAAAAAATTAATCATCATAGATTAGATTAGTAACAAAATTATTTTACATGTCATATGAATAAAGTCTCAATTAGTTTTCCGAATAGACTGAAGCAAACAAGGACTTGGTGTTGTACATCTCTATTTATAAATCTTCATCAGTTCTCATAGATAAATTGGCTTTAGTTTTTATTCTGAGATATTCGATTATTTTTCTATTGATTAACAATAAATAAACTTTTATGCACCGGACAATGGTTTGGGATGTGGATGTGCGAGTATGTTGTATCGATACAAACACTCATATCACAAATTATTCTTTGAGTGAATCAAAGATATGATGAAGTCATGCAGATACTTGCAGTATTTGAAAAAAAAGACGATTCATAGATATTTTGACTTAATAATTTTGTCTTTTTCTTTAAGATAAGAAGTTCTATGAGAAAAAAACAAGAGTTAATGAATCAGTTGAAAG